CAGGACATTATGGGAAAAAAGAGATTTCTGTTAAGAAGAAACAGCAAGCTCAAATGCCCAGAGGCAAGAGAAAAGATTGGCCTTATTTGAGGAATACAAAGAAATTCCTGGGGCCTGTGACTACCTAACTAGGAAACTGAGAAGCTAAAAGCAGAATCCTGAGAGCTGGCTCCAAAGTCTGGCTTCTCAACCACCATACAGTTTTTTTTCCTAATTTTCTTGACTTGCATACATTTATTATACGCTGCATAAAGCCAAGGTTGGTCATCTCACACACCACGCCCATCCCACTGAAGCAATCAGTGTGGATTTATTTCCTTATCTTTCTTTAGTTCATATAGACCCACCAAGCTCCCTATTCTCTATGGAAGAAGTTAAAATTTGCTGTTTGATACACATTTTTTCGTGTGTGTGTATGTGTGTGTCTTGCTGTGTGTGTGTGTCTTGACATGTACTCAAATTTTCCTACTGCTGTTTCCCATAGAATGGCAGAGAACCCCAGCCTCATGGTAATCACAGGACAAGCAGAATTTAAACATCAAATAGAATACTTTTTTAAGGATTTCTTTTATTTGAAAGATAGTTCCATATGGAATATGTGTTATAGCTGTCCCAAGCAGCAGCTTAACCTGCTATACCACATCTACCCCACTGATTAGCCCTAAACCAGTTCTAGAAGTGTCAAAGTCCTGAGGAACTTAGACATACTGAAAAGGAAAAAAAAAAAATTTGAGGACAGATTTTGTGTATAAATTTTTTGAAGACATAAGAAACACAAAGTAAAGAGAAAAGGGTAAAATTTATAAAAAATTCAGAGTAGGTAAAGCTAGCATGCCTTGACCTCTTGGCTATCTGCCAGATTTCTAAGCTCCCTAGACACATTAACTCCCAAATATAATCCTCCCATCACAGCTATGAAGAAGGCTCCACTTTTATCTCCCTTGCAGATGAGGAAACCGAAGCACACAAAGATAAAAGTGCATTGGCCCAAATCACAATACAATTCAGTGGTAAAGATTCCAAACTAAGAAGACTGAATAAAGAGCTGACTCCAGTCCCAGCTTTGCTCTAATGCAAAACAGAAACTATGAAACAGTGAGAAAAGAGCCCCAGGAATAAATGCCAACTTCACAATTCCACTGAGGATCTTTCCTGACCCACAAAGCAGTTTCTGTCTGTAAGGGCATGGTGACCTTATTTAAAGGGGAAAGAAAACCTGGAAGAAAATTTTACTGTAATTACTTTTCATTTTCTGATTTGCCAAGATAAATTACCTGAATCAATGTCTTTAGCTCTTGAACTCTCCAAGAACAATGAGTACCAATAACTCAACCTCACTGACAAAATGCAGGACACAAAATGCTTTGGCTTGCATTCTCATTTACTCTTCACAAAGTATTTATGAGATAGGAACTACAATTCTTGCATTTTTTTGCATAAGTAGAAACTGAGAAACCAAGAAGGTAACTGGATGCCTAAAGTCATATCGTTAGCAGATAGCAGTTGAGTACTTCGAATACTGGTAATGTCTCTCCAGGATTTCTGCTCCTAACTAGTACTGCACACTGTATCGTGTAATACTCAGGACTCAGTTGTCTACCAAGTGCAGATGAGCAGGTGTCTTGATGAACAGCTGATATGGAAGACTTTGTCTTTTAGCTGTCTGTTTCTGATCTGAAGGGGAACTATAACTACCAGTAACTTCTTCGCTGGAGCATTAATATAGAAGCTACAGATAGGGCCGGCGCTGCGGCTCAATAGGCTAATCCTCCACCTAGCAGCACCGGCACACCGGGTTCTAGTCCCGGTCAGGGCACCGGATTCTGTCCCGGTTGCCCCTCTTCCAGGCCAGCTCTCTGCTGTGGCCAGGGAGTGCAGTGGAGGATGGCCCAAGTGCTTGAGCCCTGCACCCCATGGGAGACCAGGAGAAGTACCTGGCTCCTGCCTTTGGATCAGCGCGGTGCACAGGCCGCAGCTCGCCGGCCACGGCAGCCATTGGAGAGTGAACCAACGGCAAAAGGAAGACCTTTCTCTCTCTCTCTCACTATCCATTCTTCCTGTCAAAAGAATAAATAAATAAAAAAGAAGCTACAGATAAATGCCCAGGGACTCCAAGGATAATTTCTGGAAAGGTTCTTTCACTTGCTCTCTCTCTCTCTCTCTCTCTATATATATATATATATATATAAAATTTATTTGACAGGTAGAGTTTACAGAAAGTGAAAGAGAGACAGAGAGAAAGGTCTTCCTTCGTTGGTTCATTCCCCAAATGGCCGCCGCGGCCAGCGCTGCGAGAATCCGAAGCCAGGAGCCAGGTGCTTCTTCCTGGTCTCCCATGTGGGTGCAGGGGCCCAAGCACTTGGGCCATCCTCCACTGCCTTCCCAGGCACAGCAGGGAGCTAGCTAGACTGGAAGAGGAACAACCGGGACTAGAAACTGGTGCCCATATGGGATGCCGGTGCCGCAGGCGGAGGATCAACCTAGTGAGCCACGGCGCCGGCCCTCACTTGCTATGTTTTAAGACTTGCTCATATCTTCACACACAACATCCTAAAATCAAAGTAATCCTATCCTTCTGATGTGGAGCTTTAATTACGAATGACCATTAAAAGTATGCTTTCAATACAGTGAAAGAAATGTATAAAATAAAACCAAAACAGAGTATTACAACCAAATGGAATATTTTAGATGGAAGCTATGTGATTTCTTTAAAAAAATTGTTAAGAATAGCCAGCATGAAGACCATATTGGTTACAAATATAAAGAGGTTCCTGGAAAGTATAAATAATTTCATAGATACAGAATGATGGATCTATAATTACTTAGCAAGAAAGAATAGACTAACCTACCAATACGTCGCTAAATTTAAAGTTGACAGCTAAGCAGAATATTATGATCTTACAAAATATTCTGCTTCCAGCCCTTGCCAAGCCCAGAAATATGAACTAGCTGGTCCATGAGCACAACACAAAAAGGTAATTCTGGGGCCGGTGCTGTGGCGTAGCGGGTAAAGCTGCTGCCTGCAGTGACGGCATCCCATATGGGCACCGGTTCAAGTTCCTGCTCCACTTCTGATCCAGCTCTCTGCTGTGGCCTGGGAAAGCAGTAGAAGTTGGCCCAGGTTGGGCCTCTTCACCAACATGGGAGATCTGGAAGAAGCTCCTGGCTCCTGGCTTCGGATGGGTGCAGCTCTGGCTGTTTCGGCCAATTGGGGAGTGAAGCAGTGGATGGAAGACCTCTCTCTCTCTCTCTCTCTCTCTCTCTCTCTCTCCTTCTCTCTCTGCCTCTCTTCTCTCTGTGTAACTCTTTCAACTCTTTCAAATAAATAAATAAATCTTTAAAAAACAAAGATAATTCTAAGAGACGTCACCCTTGCCCTTGAAGAGGTCACAGTCTACATGATGAAACTATAGAGGCCATTTTACACTGAGAAAAGAAGCATGTCTGTAGAATGAAACATACCAGCATAGCAGCTGTCCAAAAGTTGGCACAAAAATGCTTAACTAGAAAAGGTTTCATTTGGTCTCCAGGTACGTTCACCAGACTTCTCTACCCTGTTTGCATTTCAAGAGCCTGACCTTTATGGATCACATCAATTGGGCTCCCTGGTCTTTGGATTTGGCCAATGAAAACACTGGCAAGAGGTTTAAAGTCACAGGAGAGATGTGTTGGGTCATTTATTCTCCTATTTTCCTCACTGCTGGATGATAGATTGGCAGTCGTTTTCCACAGTCTTCTTACACCTCAAGTTTCACCCGGTTCTAATAACCACTCCTTCCACCGATAATTGTTTGCCACTGTTGCTAGCCCTGGGTACTTCATCATTTTGAATAGCTTCCCTTAAACTTGTTTATACCTTTGAGAACAAGCCATTATTAAAATATCTTTAGTAACTCTTAGTTTACCATCAGTTTCCTGTTTCCCAACTGACACATAATGATGTCCAGCCTTGCTTTGTAATCACTGTGGAACATTTAAAAAATATGCATTCTCAGATCCCAAGACTTAATCTAAATCTCTATGCTTGGAGTTAAGCAATATGTAACGTTAACTGAGAACCCAGGTGATTCTGCTGTAGCCAACCTGGCAGCTATGCCCAAAACAGCATTTGGAAACCACTGCTCTTGCAGACCCTACCATGCCAAACTGAAGCATTTGAAAACGGACATAATGCTTCCAGGATACAAACCCAGCTATGCCTCAGTGTAACACCAGAGCAACCAGCACTCAGAAAAAGAAGTGGGTTCTCCTGGGGACGTTCAAAGCTGAGGAAAACAAGCATACGGTGTGTGGTGATAGGCTATGCTCCTGAGCACATTAACTAAATGCTCAACTACCCCTTTCACATTTGATTAAACCCTCAATTGAAAATCACTTTTCAACCATTTTACAGGAAAAAAAAATCCATTCCCATCTCCATCTGGTGCCAAAATTAGCAAAGTGGAAAATGCCGACCGGCTTAGGCCTGCCCAACTTCAGCTTAGAATGGGCACTAGAACACCCAGTACCTTTCAGCCTCAGGGACATGAGGCCTGTTTATTCCCTAAGACCACGGGCCTCCGGTTGGACCAGAAGATAAACAGAATCAAGTGCCCAACTCGCTCCAGTCTCCGCGGATCCACTCCCCATTCGGAAGCCGAAGGCATCAGGAGATGGGCTAAGCTGACCATCTGTTCCTCTCTCCAATAATATGTAATTAAGTAATTTATTTATTCAGCACTTGAACCCCCTCCCCTCTCCTCCCATTAGTCAGGGATGATTATGCCAGACCCAGCTGTAGTTAACATATTGCACACTCAGGCGAGCACGGTGCTACAAAGCACTCTGCTAGCCTCCTGGCTATCACCACCTCTCACACCCAACCACAGGAGTGACTGCGTGAAGCTTGCGGCTCTGCTGCTTTGCTTTCTTCCCCAATGATTAGGCGGCACTCTCCTGCTGTGCACTAAACCATTTACTGTGCATATTTAATTCATTTGTTCAAAGATGAATTTACCCACATCGTCTGATCACTTCCACCAGGCCAACTCTCCGGCTCCGCAGCGCCAATGGATTTTTCCCATCTGGCAAATTTTATCTACAATATAAACAAACGTAAGTGTACACAGAGCCTGACATGTGTCTATAGAACAACAGGATTGATTTCATAAGCCTCAGGCAAAATATAAGAGTTGAAACTATGATTACATATAGCATATGTGAAGTTTTGCATATCACATGTAATGTTTTACATATCACATCTGTTCCTGTGGCCTGAGCAGTAAGTAGTCTCCTGTCTTCTGGCAATGGCTTTTTAACTTTTAAAGGAGAACCAACACTCTATACTCTGTATCCCTGCAGTTTGGATGGATCTGGCATGATCCACGGTTGAGTTTATGACCCTGAACAGCCCATTGAATGTAAATTCTAGATATCACTGAAAACAACAACAACAACAACAACAAAAAACCAGTGAAGCTCATTTCACCAAGGTTCTGAGAAGACAGCATGGTAGCCAGAACTGCCAGTGATCTAGTTGGCATTTTACCATTAGCTTACTGTACAAAATCAACGTCCAGAGATAGAGAGATCAAATTTTGAGTAAACAAGTCACTACTTGAATGCCTGGATCCAGTTACCTTTTTTCTGGACTTCTCTGTTAATGTGAATTAACAAATTCCTTGGACTGTTTAAGTTATTCAGTTATTTTTTGACACTTGCAAATATAAAAATTGTTGATAATATTGTTCCCTTATTTTAAGTATGATAAAGCAATGTAAAACCTCAAAAGCCAGTCAAACTCAGATTTGGGCAAATGCATTAGGATTTAGCACATTGTTTTATTTTTAGGTAAGTAGTAGGTAGGTAGATAGATTGATCAAATGGAATGTAATCAAATATAAACCAGACTTCAAAAAGAAAATTAAAAGTAATAATTTAAAATCACAGATTCATTAGAATAAAAGCATAAACAGGCTATTATGGGATTCCTTATGGTCAATGATAGTAGCTTCCAAACACTGACGTTTCTAAAGGGAAGGCTGTGCAAATTACCCAAGTTGTGGTAGAAGTTTTCTTAGAGCAAAGAACTACTTTGAAATCCACAAAGGTCACAGTAGTAAACTGAACAACAGTACCTAAAACATATTCATACCTAAAAAATATAATCCTTGATCCTTGGAACTCGTGAACATTACCTCACATGACACACACACACACAAACACACACGCACACAATAATGATATTAAGTTACAGAGCTTGAGATTGCACTCCAGTACTTGAGTCCCTGCCTCCCACACAGGAGTCCTGGACTGAGGCCCCAGCTCCTGCCTTTGGCCTGGCCCAGCCCTGATATCTGCATGCGTTTGGGCAGTGACTCAGTGTATGGAAGACTTCTCTCCAATCTGCTCTCCTCTCCCCTCCTCTCCCCGTTCCTCTCTGCTCCTTTCTTCTCCCTTCCCCTACCCTTCCCCTTCTCTTCTCTCTCTGCATTTCAATGTTAAAAAAGAAAAGAAAATACAATTTAGATTATGAAGATGGAAGGACACACAGTGAGACGGTGCTGTAATGCTCAGGTTTGATGAGTAATGAAGAGATTGATCTAATCTCAGCTTCTATTTTAATAGCTACACAAAGAAAGACAGATCATGGGCCTGTTTACATCAGAGATTTGGAGATGAGACACCCTTAATTCAGTACACTCAGAGGGCTGCAGTCTCAGTGAAATGATATTTTATATGCTTACAGTACAGGGAGGTAACAGGAATGCTGCTCTAGCTTCATATTCCAGGGGATACAGTAGTGGAAAGCCTGTCCTGAAAAATTCTTAACCAGAAGCCTTTCTTCTGAAGACTTTGGGTTCTATTATACACTGTGCTTATAGGGTCCTATTTTCTTAAGGCAAGAAATTAACATAACAAGTGGTCCTGGAGCACCTAGTAGGAGAAAATGAGAAACTTATTGAAATGGGAAAAGACTGAGCCCAAACCACATAGGAATTCCATGGATAAAATCCCACTGAGGATGCACATGCAAAGTAAAATAGCAGAACTCAAAAGGAAAACCTAGCATTCATGATAAATTAGCAAGTAAAATAAGCAAGATAGGCTGGCACCATGGCTCGATAGGCTAATCCTCCGCCTGCGGCGCTGGCACCCTGGGTTCTAGTCCCGGTCAGGGCACCTGATTCTGTCCCAGTTGCTCCTCTTCCAGTCCAACTCTCTGCTGTGGCCCGGGAAGGCAATGGAGTACGGCCCAAGTCCTTGGACCCTGCACCCGCATGGGAGACCAGGGGAAGCACCTGGCTCCTAGCTTCAGATCAGCACGGTGTGCAGGCCACAGCACGCCGGCCACAGCACACTGGCCACAGCGGCCTTTGGCGTGTGAACCCATGGAAAAGGAAGACCTTTCTCTCTGTCTCTCTCTCACTGTCCACTCTGCCTGTCAAAAAATAAATAAATAAATAAATAAATAAACAAACAAACAAGATAGATATACACCCCACCATGAACTTCAGGTAACAAATCACAGATTTTTTTTTAAGTACTCTCATGGGAAAAGGACAATTGACCAGCAGACAATAAAAAGTTTAATTCTAAAGTAGAAATAAGAAAATGCAAGAAGCACCCAACTTAACCCAAAGTCAACCCCCACAGTCAACAAAGCCCATTTGCCCAAAGTATTTGAGACCCTCTTGGTAAACACAGCGGATGACTTCAGGATAGACTGATACTGGAGAAACAGGATAGGAGCATCAGATTGTACCTGAATTCCATTTGTGCAGTCTTGAGGCAAGTGATTTAACTTCTTTAGGTTTTGACTTTCTCATTTGTAAAATTGGGGAAATGATAGCACTAACTTCCATGAGTTAATATGAGGAATTAATCAGTCAATGTGTGTAAGGAACAGAGAAAAGTGAGAAACATAGTAAACAAATGATTGCTCTCATAGTTGCCATTGTTGAATGAACAAACAACTTAGCAATACGTATATTCATCTCTCTTCTATTATATATATTTGATAAATAAATAATAAGGTAAATTTGGAAAATTAAGAAACATGAAAATTAAACAGCAGAGTTCTAAATATACAATGGGTCAAAAAAAAATCACAAAGAAAATGAGATGTGGCCAACACTGTGACGCAGAGGGTTAAAGCCCTGGCCTGTAGTGCTGGCACCCGATATGGGTGCCAGTTCAAGTCCCAACTGCTCCACTTCTGATCTAGCTCTCTGCTAAGGCCTTGGAAAGCAGTAGAAGATGGCCCAAGTCCTTGGGCCCTTGCACCTGTGTGGGAGACCTAGAAGAAGGTTCTGGCTCCTGGCTTTGGATCAGCTCAGCTTTGGCCATTGCAGTTATTTGGGAAATGAACCATCCAATGGAATACTTCTCTCTCTCTCTGGCTTGACCTCTGTAACTCTGTCATTCAAATAAATAAAATAAATATTTAAAAAAAAATAAAATGAGAAACACAAATTACAACAAATATACAACATTTTAAAAGTAATGAGATGTAGCTAAATCAGTGTTTAGCAAGAAATTTATAATTATAAATTTATAATTATAAAATTATTAAAAATTATAATTATAAATTTATAATTATATTAGAAGAGAAGAAAGCTCTTGAGCAACCTAATTCTACACATTAAGAAATTAGGGGGGCCAGCGCTGTGGTGCAGTGGGTTAACGCCCTGTTAACCGCCCTGAACCGCCGGCATCCCAGATGGGCGCTGGTTCAAGAACCGGCTGCTCCACTTCCAATCCAGCTCTCTGCTATGGCCTGGGAAAGCAGCAGAAGATGGCCCAAATACTTGGGCCCCTTCACTCACGTGGGAGATCTGGAAGAAGCTCCTGGCTCCCGGCTTCGGGTAGGTGCAGCTCTGGGTGTTGCGGCCAATTGGGGAGTGAACCATCAAATGGAAGACCTACCTCTCTCTCTCTCTCTGCCTCTCCTTCTCTCTCTGTGTAACTCTGACTTTCAAAAATAAATAAATAATTCTTTAAAAACATAATTATTAAGGAACTTCTGCATCAAAACAATTTTAGTTCCCAAGCTAAAACAAACAGCCCATCTGGGCCATCTAGGAAGTAAACCAGTGGATGGAAGACCTCTCTCTCTCTCTCTCTCTTTCTCTCTCTCTCTCTGGCTCTATTCTCTCTCTGACTTTCAAATAAATAAATCTAAAAAAAAAAAAAAGAAAGAAATTAGGGGAGAAAAAGAGTAAATTAAACCCAAAGAAAGGGCCAGCTCCATGGTGCAGTAGGTTAATCCTCTACCTGTGGTGCCGGCATCCCATATGGGTGCTGGTTCTAGTCCCGGCTGCCCCTCTTCCAATCCAGCTCTCTGCCATGGCCTGGGAAAACAGTATAAGATGGCCCACGTCCTTCGGCCCCTGCACCCATGTGGGAGACCAGGAAGAAGTACCTGGCTGCTGGCTTCGGATCGGCACAGCTCTGGCCGTTGCGGCCGTCTGGGGAGTGAACCAATAGCAGGAAGACCTTTCTCTCTGTTTCTACCTCTCACTATAACTCTACCTCTCAAATAAATAAAATCTTAAAAAAAAAAAAAACCCAAAGCAAGTATAAAAAAGAAAAATAATGAAAATTAGAGTAAGAATAAAAGAAATAATTAATTTTAAAAATAAAGAAAACCAATTATCTCAAAGTTCGGTGTTTGAAAATATTACAAAGTGAAAAGTATCTGAAAAGCAGTTGAGATGCTGCTTGGGATGCCCATAAACCCTTATTGAAGTGCATGAATTTGAGTTTCAGCTTCATTCCTAATAACAGCTTCCTGATAATTAATGTTCTAGAAGGCAGCAGGTGAAATAATTACAGAAACTCCCCCAGCTTGGAGAAAGAAAGGGATGTCCAAGTACAGGAAGCACATAAAATTCTTAAGAGATATGACCAGCTGGTGCCGTGGCTCACTAGGCTAATCCTCTTTCTTGCGGCGCCGGCACACCGGGTTCTAGTCCCGGTCGGGGCGCTGGATTCTGTCCCGGTTGCTCCTCTTCCAGGCCAGCTCTCTGCTGTGGCCCAGGAAGGCAGTGGAGGATGGCCCAAGTGCTTGGGCCCTGCACCCCATGGGAGACCAGGAGAAGCACCTGGCTCCTGCCTTTGGATCAGTGTGGTGCACTGGCCACAGCGTGCCGGCCACGGCGGCC